TTTTTTTTTTTTTTTGATAAGGTGGGGGACAAAAATATAAAACAAAAACGAAAAGGAATGGGATAGAAGAAAAACACACGATCTAACACCTCTCAATGAAAGCAACAATGATGAAGATCGCGTGTTTCGATTGCCGATAAGCCACAAACCAGTGCCTTGAATCGCCGATAGTTGCCTAGAGGTTCACAAACTGCATCCCTCTAAACGAATATAATTGCAATAGAATTTTAGTGAAAAACTAAAGCAAGGAGAGAATGAATAAAAGTATGGACTTTTATTGATAAACTGAATGATGAAAAATAACATGGGGAAGGGCCTTTAATTAGGCACAAATTATATCTAGTCCTAATCTACCTAGGGAACTAATAAAATATTAGAAATCCTAATTAATCTAGAAATCATAAATCTAGATGGAAACTAAATCTCTTGGTGTGCACTCGAAGTAATTCTCTCTCTCTTCACTTCGCACGTTTGGCCGCCTGACGCACCGCCGCGCGCCTTTGTCCATCGCCTTAGTCCTCGAGGACTAGAGCACCGCCTTCTGCGCGTGCCTCGCCACCGGGCATGCTACGCACGCTAGCTCCTGCCTGCCGCCTTCGTGCGCGTGGCTGTTCATCAGTCCATATCTCTCAAGGACTGCGGCTTCGCGCCCCGCGCGTCTGATAACGGATCGTGGTTTCTGTCTACTGGTTGTGAATAATCGCGCACTCATGGCCTTCGACTAAACATGATAGGTGTGATTTCAAGACGCTCTCAGGGCCTTCTCTCCGACATGGTTGTATGATAAACACGCACTAATGGCCTTGCTTAAACACACGATTGAACACAACGTTCTTTTCTATTCACTCATCAATTCTGGACATCTAAAACAATGAGGGGACACCCCTATTTATAGATCCTAACTTAGTCTAGTCCTAATCTTACTACGGAACTTATTAAAGCAATAAAATATTAATTCCTGAACATAATAGATCTTCTAAAGTAACAAGGAAACTAAATAACTAGGGGATCTTGTGTCTTGACTTGCACTCCAAGTAGGGAAGAATTTTCTAGAGAAGTTTTAGCTTAAAAGACTCCTAGAAGACTCCTTTTCTTGCTGCCCAAGTCGTCCCCAAGCGCTGCCCTGGCTGGCCTGCGTCCGCGCGCGCGTGCTGTAATGAAGGATCGTGTGTTTTGTTCCACTCGCTTGCCTCAAACACAGCCTCACCACGACTTGCTCTCGACGGATAGGTGTGATTGACTCAGTTATTAGCCTAACTCTCTCACGATACTTGAGTTCACTCGGTAATTAGCCTCGCTACCTCGATTTTAAACTAGCTCGGGTCTTAGCCTCACTAATCCGATTGCATTATTGAACTCTCACGAATCCTAACACACGGTTTGAACAAACGTTCTTTTCTATTCACTAATCAATTCTGGACTGGACATTCAAAACAATGAGGGGATCATCCCTTTTTATAGATCCTAACTTAGTCTACTCCTAATCTATGTAGGGAACTTAATAAAGCAATAAAATATTAAATTCTAAACAATCTAGATCTACTAATGCAATATGGAAATAGAATCCTAATAAATCTACTAGTCTTAGTCTCCAAGTCTTTTACTTTCCTTGCACTCCAAGCTCGGC